GAATAAATAAATGAGAAGTTTGGTGCAGTCTTTCTGGCTTGCCTGTAAACTTCCTAAGCTCAAAGACTTTATCTAGGACTTTCCTGTGTCTCCCTGGAGGCACAGAGTGTTTGGTGAGTGTTTGTTGAAAGAATGACAGCTGCAATGACAGCCGCTTTGTGCCAAGTGCCACAGGCAGTTGTAGCCGTGTCACCGCTCCATCCCCTCCCCAAGGGAGGTGTCTCTGGCACCCTGTTCCCGCGGCCTTCCTAGAGAGCAGCCTTCCCAGGACGATCATTCCAAGGCTGCAGCGCCACAGCGGAGGGCTCCCTGCAAATAACCAGGCTATCCCTGTTCTCCAGACAGTGTCAGGCGCTTCCTGTTTGGGGTGGAAAGGAAGCAGACACTTTCCTGTGAGCAGGTCTTTTAAGCAAAGCAGCAGCTGCAGAACAGGTCTTGGCCCAGCCTTGTAGGCCAGATGCCCGGTAATTAGACAGCCTTTATGTACAAGGGAAGTGAGGCACAGTGCCAGACTAGCCAGGCTTTTATTGTGCTCCTTGCAAGTCCCCTGGGCCCTGGTGTGAGTAGAAAACAAACTAAAAGAGGTTGGTGCTTTTCTAAACTGTGATGAATGCTGAGCGGGATGGAAGCTGAGCCTGAGAACATTACCTGGTGAGGAGGTGGAGGTGCAGCTGTCCTGGGGCAGGCTTGGAGGTGTTGTCTGCGTGTGAGCATACTCATTACGAACCTGTACAGAGAATGTGAGTGGAAGCTAGCACATGTGTCTGATGTCCAGCACCTCACAGGGTTCAAGACATAAATGTTCTAGCTCTCTCCCCGTAGCACACAGAGTAATAGAAAAAGCAAGAAGGGCTGGTGCAGTGGCTCAAAGGACTAATTATCTATCTGCTAGCACCAGCATCCCAAATGGGTGTCAGTTCTAGTCCCAGCTGCTCCACTTCCAATCCAACTCTCTGCTTATGGCCGGGAAAGCAGCAGAGGAAGGCTCAGCTCCTTGGACCCCTGCATCCCTATGGGGGACACGGAAGAAGCTCCCCGCCTCCCCCGGTTCCTAGCTTTGGATCGGCTCAGCTCCATTGTGGCCATGTAAGAGTGACCAGCAGATGGAAGACTCTCTCTGTCTGCTCTCTGTAAAATTTGCCTTTCAGGGCCCAGAATGATGGCTCAGTGGCTAAATCCTTGCCTTGCACATACTGGGATCCCATATGGGCACATGTTTGTGTTGCGGCTGCTCCACTTCCCATCCAGCTCCTTGCATGTGGCCTGGGAAAGCAGTAGAGGATGGCTTAAAGCCTTGGACCCCGCACCCACATGGGAGATTCAGTAGAAGCGCCTGGCTTCTGTTTTTGGATCAGCTCAGTTCCAGTCATTGCAGCCATTTTGAGTGAACCAGTGGATAGAAGATATTTCTCTCTGTCTCTCTTTCTCTCTGTATATCTGCCTTTCCAATAAAAATAAATCTTTTTAAAAAATCTGCCTTTAGGACCCAATGTAGTAGTCTAGTGGCTAAAGTCCTCACTTTGTACATCTGGGATACCATATGAGTGCCTGTTCATATTCCGGCTCCCCACTTCCTATCCAGTTCCCTGCTTGTAGCCTGGGAAAGCAGTTGAGGATGGCCCAAAGCCTTGGGACCCTCTACCCATAAGGGAGACTGGAAGAAGCTCCTGGCTTCAGGTCGGCTTTGGATCAGCTGAGTTCCAGCCATTGTGACTACTTGGGGAGTAAACCAGCACAAGAAAGATCTTTGTCTTCCCTCTCTCTGTAAATCTGACTTTCCAACAAAACCAAATCAATCTTTTCTTAAAATCCGTCTTTCAAATGCAAATAAATAAATCTTAAAAAAAATAAAAGGCACTCTCTCCCATTTTAAGTTGGCCAAACTCAGGCTAAGTTAGCTTGCAAAGGCCATACAGTGTTAAAAAGGCAAGATTTGACTCCCATCTGACTCCAGGTCAGTGTGTACGTGGGTACACAGAGAGAGGAGGATGGGATGTGTAGCAATGAGTGTGGCCCAGGCTGAGGAGACATACCTGTGTTTGCTGAAGAAAGTTTCACTTGAAGAGGCAGGGATGATTGCTGGAAAGTCAGGATTTCTAGACTTGAATCATAGCTAAAGATGCAGAGGCTACTGTCAGTAACAGATGGAAACGATGATGCTCAAGTCCTCACAGCTCTGGGGAAAATCTCCTCTTTAACTAAGCTCACATCCTCATTAATTCTTCTGCTGTGACTTTACTTAGTCATTTAAATATTTTTTGTTGTTGTCGTTAATTGTCTTGTGAGCATGGATTCTTTTCTACACAGCTCAGAATTCCTTGATAAAAATCTACTTTGTGCTTTGCACATTTCCTGGGGAGGAAGAAGGGGCAGAGACAAAGGGGATTGTTCCTCATAATGAGAGAGAAACTGAGGCCCAGGCGACCCTTATTCAGACTCACACATCCTGCCTGATTTAAGGCTCTTGCTGTTACTTTTTCTTAGAGAAAGAGGATGGGTCCAGGACAGGCAGTGCCTGGACTGCCCCTGGGCAGGCATCATGTCCAGGCCTTGACATTGGGCCTGGGTCCTGTCTGCTCTGGGAAGGCTGGAGGCACTGATGACCTGAGCCAAGCACCGGTGCAGACAGAGCTAGGAACAGGAAGCAGCTCTTTTTGAAGAGGACTAGAAAGAAACATTAGCCTAAATGGGTCAGAAACTGCCCAGCAGAGGGAGGGAAGACCGTGAGACAGAGGGAAAACCCAGAGCCACCCTCTTGCACGCTGGTATTGATGAGTTAATGCCTTAGGCAGTCTGGAGTACAGCATGGGAATCCGATTTTTAAAAATGGATTTTCTGCATTTCTTCTCTTTTTCTTTTCTTTCTTTTTTTTTTTTTAAGATTTATTTAGGGGGCAGTGTGATGGCATAGCAAACTAATCCTCCAACAGGGGCGTCAGCATCCCAAATGGGTGCTGGTTCTAGTCTCCGCTGCTCCATTTCCCATCCAACTACCTGGTTATGGACTAGAAAGGCAATGGTGGACAGCCCAAGCCCTTGGGACTCTGCCCCTGTGTGGGATACCTCTCCTGATTCCTCACTGTGGGCTGAGCCTCTTTCTAATGAACTGCCCTGCCTTTCTCATCTTCCTTTCCTCCTTAGATCTCTCTCCGAACCTCCCAGTGCACACAGGGCAAGCAGTCCTTGTCGCCCTGCTGCTACCCACCCGCCCCACGACCATCTAAAGCATTCTGGTTCAGTGTGTCCCGCAAAGTGAAAGCACACTGCATAGTGAGGCTTTGTAGTCACCTGGATTTTGAAGATCACAGAATTTGTACTCTGGGATGAAAGAACAATCTTCAGAATAGAAGCGAGCCAGAGGCTCTTGCTACCTAAGTTCTAACCACAGAAATAGGCTCTCTTCCCCAGGAAATGGGGCCATGCTATGCTAAGGCTCCATTGAAGCCAATGGCACTGTGTGGGTGCAGGCCGCCCTGTTTTGTAAGGACTTCCAAGTCTACATGATGCCTAGAGATGGTTGCAGGCAAACATGGGATAGAGGGTGGCAAGCACTGGATATCAGAAATCAACCCAGGACACAATAGGAAGGCAGAGACAGTCAATTTTCAAACATACAGGGGTACTAGCTGAGATGCACAAGATACAGGATCAGTTTTCCAGTGGCCAAACCCATCTCCTGCCAGCCACTCAGCTCTCCAAAGAGCCCTGCCTTCCATCTTCACAGTAGCTGGAAGGGAGACTTTGTAGAATGTGCTGGGAGACAGGGGTGGAGATGCTCTGTCTATAGGGAAGGAATTGGCAAGCCTAGCTTTGACTCCTCCTTGGCCCACAGTGTCCCTAATGCTTGACATCCCTCAGAGCTCCCGCCCCCAAAGCAGACTGTCCACCTACCGGTCAAGGCCACAGTATGCCTTGTCATATCTACAACCTTCACACAAATACCACACACACACAGAATACATACATACATACATTCAAACTGCACAGTTGACAGATAAAATAGAGGTGCACAGCTCAACTTGAATTTCAGGTTAACAATGATATATATATTTTTAGTATCTGAATTCTCCATGTATTGCACACATTGACCTGATATACAAGTCTAAAAGAAGGTCCTGTATTTTTTATTTGCTAAATGTGGTAACTCTCTCCCACTCTACTTCAGAATCTCCCTGCCCCAAGCTCATGGCAGGGTATTGCTTGAACAAACAGCTTTGTCTCTGCCTGGTCTTTCCTTAACCAAGAACCTGCACTGTAGCTGATCTGGAGGATTGGAAGCTCTGTGAGGGCCAGGCAGGGATGCCCCTTACCAAGTTGCACAAGGGGACCCTCAGGGAAGGGGGCACGGATGGTCAAAAACAATCTGGGCTTGCGGGGTGTCTCCAGTGAATCCCTAACGGGGTATTTGCGGGTGGAAGGGTGACTTGGTCTTCATTGGTCTGCCCACCAGCGTGCCTGTTCCTAATTGGTCCCCCAGAATATGTGCCCCTTTTTCGTTGGTGAGTTGAAAGGAGAAGAGAGGGCCTGTTTCCAATTAGTTTCACCAAAAGAATGCCTATTCTAAAATGTCTATTCAAAGACTGAGTTCTCCAATGTCCCCACCCAAGGGGGGTCTTTCTCTAAACAGAACAAAACACTGCTCTCTGTGGCCTCAGGGTCCCAACACTGCCTCTTTGTTTCTTTGTTCAGCACTATTTATAGATTTGCCAATTATTTTTACACACTTTAATGTAGCCAGGGATCCCACAAGGACCCCAGCAGCTTCTTATCTATGTTCCTCTTGCACTTTGCAAATGAGGGTATGGGGTGACAGCCCAACGTCAGCCATGAAAGCATCTGCATTTGGCTAAGGCTTCCACCTACATCTCTGCTTTCTATTCTTATAATGACTTTAAGGGACAGATAAGACGCTGGACACTCATTTTCTCTTTTCAATCCTGGGAATCGATGAAGACACTAGCACTCCAGCGAGCCCGTCCAAGCCCACACTGGATACCTGAATTCCTAACGGGCACCAGCGCTCCCTCAGCCTGCCGTGTGCCCTCTAGCCAGCCTCTCCCTTAGCCCCAGTGTGATGAGATCAGGGAGGGGCTTTGCCCTGCCCAGAGGGGAACTGTGCAACCCAGCCAGTGCTGTCTCCCACAGATGTCCGGTGACAAGGGTATTTCTGCCTTCCCTGAGTCAGACAACCTCTTCAAATGGATCGGGACCATCCACGGGGCAGCTGGCACAGTGTACGAAGACCTCAGATATAAGCTCTCCCTGGAGTTCCCCAGTGGCTACCCTTACAACGCCCCCACGGTCAAGTTTCTCACACCCTGCTACCACCCCAACGTGGACACCCAGGGCAACATCTGCCTGGACATCCTGAAGGACAAGTGGTCTGCGCTCTATGACGTCAGAACCATTCTGCTGTCCATCCAGAGCCTGCTAGGAGAGCCCAACATCGAAAGCCCTCTGAACACACACGCCGCTGAGCTCTGGAAGAACCCCACAGCTTTTAAGAAGTACCTGCAGGAAACCTACTCCAAGCAGGTCTCCAGCCAAGACCCCTGATCCCAGGCCCTCCACACTCCTGTGCTGTCACCGTCGTCATTGTCAGTCTGCTCGCAACATCTGTCCTTTCCTTGGACACTCCTTGCACTCCACTGCAACCCTGTTGGGAAGCCCCTATGGCTCCACGCCAGGCAAGGTGCCATCCTTTCGCAGAAAATCTCCCAACATGTTGCTCATCAGGTTGGTCAGAGGGGTGCCGAGGCGGTTTAAAGCGTAGTGGCTGCTTGCAATGCCACCGGCATCCCATAGGGGCGCGTCACTTCCAATTCAGTTTGCTATTCAAGTTCCTGGGAAAGCCGGGGAAGATGGGCCAAGTGCCCGGACTCCTGTCATCCACCACGGAGACCGGGAGAAAGCTCCTGGCTTTGGCTCAAGCTCGGCCTTGTAGTCATTTGGGCAGTGAGGCAACGAACCAACGGATGGAAGAGTTTAACTCTGCCTTTCGAATAAATGAGACACAGAGAAAAGATCAGATTGACTCAGAACCACACAGCCAGCAGGTGGTTGAGGATGGACCGATTCACTATCAGATGCAGATCCTGAACTCAAAAGTTCCTCTGACCCCAGCCTAGGGCTCCTTCTCTCACAACCCCAGAGGCTGCCTCCCCGCCTGACAGAAACAACTGAAGGCCCTCAGGAAGGTCAAGACCCCTCTTCTTCAAAGTCTTAGGCAACTGCAAGTGCGAGAAGATATTTCCTCCTGGACCTCCCTGGAGAGATTAGGATCAACAAAAGCCCAGAGAATGGGGCGCGGCGGGCGGGCGCAGGGCGAGGCTGCGGAAGCAGCTCCAGGCGCGGGGTGGGGCGCAGTGCCCGGCTCCCGGCCCCTCCTCCGTCGCTCCCCGCCTCCCTCCCTCCCTCTCGGGTCCTCAGGCCTGTGGGCGGCCAGTGCAGGGACTGGACGACGTAACTCCGGCTGCCGGCAACGAGCTGCTGGACCACCTCTTTGCGCGCGCCCACCTCTCTTTGCGCGCGCCCAGGCGGCCCGGACCTGTCGCATCCCGGGGGCATGCCGGGGATCCTGCGCGAGATGCAGACACGCATGAATCTCCTCCTGCTGCACGCCCTGCCACTGCTGCTGTGGGGTGGCCTGGCTGCCGAGCCCGTGGGGCGCGCCGGCCGGGAGCTGCGCCAGGAGGCGGAGGTACAGGGCTGGGGCTGGGACTGGGGTTGGGGCTTGCGGGCAGGAGCCTGGGGCTGGAGCCACCCCGGCATTTTGCAGTTGGCCCCATGGCCGTGCCGTCGGAGGTGACCATTCAGGCTACCTTCCCTACATGGCACCTAACCGGGGCAGCATGGGCCCTAAGCCAGGGATGGAACCACACCAGCGGGAGGTGCGAAAAGACAGCCAGGGGCAAGGGGTCCGGTGAAGGGGGCAGCCAGACTGGACCAACTCGCAGAGCTGAGAGAAAACTCCACCCTTGGTGGCACTGGGTCCCCCTGCCTAGCTGCCAGGCACCAATGACTTACCCTTCACTCCTGGGATAGCGGGCGGGCGCTGCTGGCGGGGGTGCTCAGGCAGCACCCACCTCCCCGCTCCACCTGGGGCTGCCTGCAAGCCTTGTAAACTGCTAAGAACCCATTTTGTCATCTAGAAAACAAGTTGAGTGCTATACTCTCATTTAAACGGGGCTGAGACAAGGGGATAGAGAAGTAGAGGTGAATCAAAGTGCTCACGTTTTTTTCTCCAACTTTGGATTCAGCTGCGCAGAAGGGGTGTGCGTTCCACGTGGGGGAATTGTTTTCTAGGGAATGTGGACTGCCCTAACCCGGCCCCAGCGTTTCGGTTTCCCTCAAAGCTGCAGCCATCGCCTAGGGCGCCGTTTCCTTAGTTAGGACCGCCTTCACTATTTTGCCAGGGGACATGAATCAGTTACCTGCGCAGCACTCTGCCAGGTCCCTCTGAGGGTGTGACAAGTGCCAGTATTTCCCTCCTTGCTTTGTCCAGCTGAGTTCGGGAAACCTGCAGAATGCGGCACCCTCCCCTTCTGAATGGCGCCTCCTGCCCTCTGCCGGGTGGAGGATTTGGCAGTGACCCTGGCTCACCAGGGAATCCTTTCTCCAGCTCCACTTCAAGGGTTCTGTGCTGCCTGCTTGCGTCTATTCAGGGAATCTCTTAGACTCTTACAAAATCAAGCTCTGAGTACTCCAGACCCCAGGGGAAGGCTGTGTGTACCAGGCCAAGTCTTGCTAAGAGTCCCACCTCGCCTCCTCTCAAGTTCAGGTCCAGGGCGAGCCTTGGAAAGGGAACAGAGACAGTTATCTCTGCTGCCCCTGCCTGCAGTGGCCCCGGATGGAGAGAAATTCAATGTGGGGTGTGCTGGGGAAATTTGATATCTAGCAGATTGAGGCTCTTTTGGTTTCTGGAACAGAAGCTAGGGGAGGGAATTTTTAGCTGTCAAAACAAGAAGTGCTTTTAAACCATACATACAAACTCGAAATTGGTAATGAATGTGGTTTCTGCGAGTCTGTGCAAACACATCTATATGTGTAGGCACACAGCTATGTGGCAATCAGGCAGGTGCCACACCTGCTTGCAAAGCCGCAGGTAAATCATTCACCCTCTATGAGTCTCACTTTTTTCTCTGTGCAGTGTGTGTGTGGGGGGGTGGTTAATAACGTCTGTTTCACATTTTTGTGAGGTCTCATGGAGATAAAATGCATACTTGGCACATTGAAAGCAGATTGCAAATGGAAATTGATTTCAATGTTGTTGTTGAAGTTATTGATTTTTAAAGATTTTTTTTACTTGGTGATTTTATTTGAGACAGAGATAGTAACAGGTAGAAAGCCCGAGGGACCGATCCACTGGTCCCTCCCAAATGTCCATGACAATGGAGGGCTGAGCTGAGGCCACAGTCAGGGAGGGACTCAGCTCAGGCCTCTCCAGTACTGCTGTCTCCCAGGATGAGTTTTACCAGGAAGCTGGAATCAGGGGTAGAGGGGGACTTGAGCCCAGGCACCCCAAACTGGTATGCAGGCATCCTAACTGCTAGGCTAAGTGCTCAGCACCAGGCGTTAGGATTCTCTTTACTGTTACTTTAGAGAACAGAGCTACAGACTAAAGTCTTGGCTCAGAGACCAGCTCTCCCAAAACAATAACACAGGACAAAGTATGTAAGGCAACTATTTTCAGCATTGGACAGCAAACAGCACAAAACTGCAATTCCCAGTAGACGGTGTTGCAGTTACTATGACTACGTTACAAATTGCCTGAAAATTTAGTCAAGTAAAGTAACTATTTTCTAAGGCCACAGAGACTGTGGGTCAGAATCCCACACAGGGCACAGTAGGGTCGCTTGTGTGTGGCATGACAGTGATGGGGACAGGCATCATCAGAAGGCCGTTTATTCACATGCCTGGCATTTGGTGCTGGCGTCAGCTGGGGTCCTCGGTTCTAGTCCTGCCCATAAATCTCTCTCTGCAGGATGGTATGTGCCCCTCACAGCGTGGTAGCTAGGTCCTGAGGATGAAAGGAAACAAAGTTGTGCCTTTCTATCACTTAGACTTGGAAGTTGTGTCGTATTGTCTTGGCTCAGTACTCCGTGGGCTAGAGTAGTCACAAGCCCTACCCAGGTTCCAGGGGAGGGAATGGGGGCTCAGAGTGGGAAGAAGGTTGGAGTCACCTTGTAAGAAGAGCATGGACACTGGGGAGGTCACTGTAGACAGAGAGACGGAGACAGGAGAGCCAGGCACGAGCCCCGTCAGCATCCAGTAGAGCACAGCGCGCTTGTTCAGCTGAGGGTCAAGACTAGAGTTCAGGGCTCCTGCAAGGCTGGTGGGGCAGCAGGGTCCCGGGGAGTGGGGCATCCCAGAGGAGGAAGCCACATTGACGGGGATTCCTACAACGTCCTGCCTGAGGACTATGCAAGCAATTGTAGGTTGACACAGTGAGAGAGCAGCTGTTATGTGGCCGAGATCAGAGAAAGACTCCAGATGTTGGAGTCTACCACCCCAGGCACCCATGTGAACCAGCAGTGACGCCCTGATTTGGCAGTGAAGACCAGGACAGAGGTGTCTCCTATAATAAAGCTTGGAAGTGTGGAAACCTGATCTATGGCTCTCACTGTCATCACTTCCTTCAGGGAAGAGGAGGAATCAGCGAGGGCAGAGAGGACCGCAGGGACACTCTAACCAGCTTTGCCTGATTCCGACTGGTAGACAACAACATTGGAGAACCCCAAATGTGCATTTTTTTCTAAGTGCTTATAAAATGTTTGTCAAAATAGACTATATTCTGGATCATAAAATAAATCTCAATGAAAATTTCAAAACTAAGGTCTTAGCGATTCTGTTTTCCGATCAAAACAGAACTTAGAGCTCAGTGACAATAAGTTATGTATCAAACCCCAAATATTTTAGTATTAAATTAGACATTTCTGAATTAACCATGATTAAACTAAAACATGAGTGAAAATAGAAAATATTTTAAATTGAATCATAGTAAAAACATTACACTTCCATGTCAACGCTGGTGGGGTGCAGCTAAAGCAGTGCTTAGTGTAAGCACTATTTTAGCTTTAAGTGCCTATGGTGAAAAAGAAGAAATGTTTTAGAGCAGTGATCTAAGATTCCACTGTAAGAGGCTAGAAATGAACAGATAACAGATAACACCCAGAGGGCATGGAGAGACAGAAATAGTTTTTTTTAAAAAAAAAAAAAATCAGGGGGATTGTAGCTGGGCCATTCACTTCTCTGAGCTGCAATTTTTCCTCTGTAAAATAAGGCCAGCTAACTTTATTTTGATTTGTTTACTTGAAAGAATTACAGGAAGGAGAGGAGGAAGAGGGAGAGAAATCTTGCACTCGCTAGTTTACTCCCCAGATAACTACAACAACCAGGGCAGGGTCAGACTGAAGCCAGAAGCCAGGAGCCTCATGTGGGTCTCCCATGAGGACGGCAGGGGCCCAAGTACCTGGGCTGTCTTCTGCTGCTTCTCCCAGGCCATCAGCAGGGAGCTTAATCAGTGCAGCAACTGGAACACAAACCCATATCCATGTAAGATACTGACATTGTAGGCAATAGCTTTATCTGCTATGCCACAATGCCAGCCCCTAAATTTCTTAAATGACTTATGAGATTCTCCCTAACTGTAACATAATTTGACTGTAGTACATTTGTACACCTGTGCCTTTATGTGGTTGGGGGTAGGGCAAAAGGGCTTGGTATATATGCATATCATAGACTTGTGTGTCTTTGTGCAACTGGATGTGTATGTGTGTCCCTGTCCCCTGTGGACATGGCTTGCATGTCCCCTGTGTGCACACCAAGTAAAAAAAGTCAAAAGCTTTTCAGTGTAACCTTTGCCTGGGAGGAGACATACTGCTTACAGAGCTGTATTATGAACAAGTTCATTGTTGCCTACTTAGGGAAAATAGAGCTGCTCAGAGCCAGAACAGGCCTACTTCCCATCCCTTCCTGCACAGCTGCTCCCAGCGTGCCGGTGTAACCAACGGCTGGGCAATTGCTTCTCCAGGCAGACACTCGGACTTCCGTGCAGTATCCACCCCTAGATGCAATGTCTGTTTCTCATGTCCCAGACCCATTCAATTTGACTGACTGTTGTGAGTCAGAAACACAGAAGCCAGGTGTGGGAGCCACTCCCAAGAACTCAGCTTTGTGACTCAAGGCTCCTTGGTGAAGAGAAGTGCAGAAGAGACTCAGAAGGGTCCCAGAGGAACACAAGCGCTGGAAAGGCTTTTGTCAAGCCAGTTTGAAATTGAAGAAGCCTCAATGGGTAGCAAAAGCAAGAACAAGCAGGGAGACAGCTGGCCTCAACCCAAGCTTTGGTTAGGGCAGTGTTCTGTGTCCTTCACTCAGCCCCCACAAGCTTTATTGGAATCACGAGTTCACTCAAGGGACCAGCACTGTGACATAGCAGGCTAAGCCTCCACCTGCAGCGCAGCATCCTGTTTGGATGCCAGTTTGAGTCCTAACTGCTTCATTTCCAAGCCAGCTGCCTTTAATGGCCTGGTAAGGCAGCAGAGGATGGCGCAAGTCCTTGGGCTTCTGCACCCATGTGGAAGACCCTTAACAACCTGCAGGCTCCTGGCTTTGGTCTGGGCCAGCCCTGGCTGTTGCTGCCATTTGGAGAGTGAATCAGCAGATAGACAGATCTCTTTCTGTCTTTTTCACTAACCCCTC